CCCAACACTTTGAGAGGCCAAGGTAGTCAAATTACCTGAGGTCAGGAGTTTCAGACCAGCCTGACCAATATGATGAAACCCCCATCTCTACTAAAAAATATAAAAATTAGCCAGGTGTGGTGGCATGCGCCTGTAATCCTAGCTACTAGGAGGCTGAGACGGGGGAATCGCTTGAATCTGGGAGGCGGAAGTTGTAGTGAGCTGAGATGGCGCCATTGCACTCCAGCCTGGGCAACAAAAGTGAAACTCCATCTCAAAAAAAAAGATCACTTTCCTAAGAGGTTAAATCTCCCCACCTTCCCCTGCCCTCAGTTTTTTAAACTGGGGATTATAACCCACACAGTAAATGTTCTCATTTTGACTCTTCCTTTAAGTAGGAAACTCAGTTCCAAACTGGTTATCACAGCTAAAGTACCTACAGTTTATTCCTAACCATTCTTTTTTTTTAGCAGAAACCATCCTAACAAAGTTGAAACCAACCAAATTCACAGTCTGCGTGCATGGCTCTCCGTTCTTCTTCCTGGCTTTACAGGTTCCCAGGTCGAGAGCTTCACCCATAATTAAGACCTTTTGAGGATGATCGATAGATAAACACACCTGGAAGAAAGAGGTGGGGCAGGAGTTAAAAGCAGACAAAATTATGGCCCTTTATTAGCAGGAACAGAGAAAAGAATGGTTGGTGCCGACTTAAGGTTATTGCCAGGTGCAGTGGCTCACGCCTACAACCCTCGTACTCTGGGAGGCCGAGGTGGGTGGGTCTCTTGAGGCCAGCCTAGGCAATGTGGCCAAAACCCTGTCTCTACAAAAAATACAAAAATTAGCCAGGCGTGGTGGTGTGTGCCTGTAGTCCCAGCTGCTTGCGGGGCTGATGTGGGAGGATCACTAGAGCCTGGGAAGTCTAGGCTGCAGTGAGCTGTGACTGCACTCCAGCCTGGGCAAGAGAATGAGGCCCTGCCTCAAAAAGGAGGGAGGTTTTACTGGTGTGAAGGAATGCGAAACCAGTGCTCTACAGCTGTTTTAGGAACAGGGGTGCAGAAGGTACCTTCAATTCTCTTCCGATTTTCTCTCCTTTCCTTCATCTTTGCGATTGGAATCCTGATTTTATCTGGGCTGGCCGAGTTCTCAGCCTCAGGTAATAGATCCTGTTCCCTGTTTTCCCAGCGCTCCTTAGAGCGAGCAGTGGTTATGTGATAAGTTCTAGATGATCAGATGTAAGCAGGAGTTGGTAGGGAAGCTTTTGCTTTCCTGACAAAACGAGTTAGGAGGCTGGCTCCCCCTTCCTCCTCACTTCTTGCCTTGAATGGAGAGGACTACAGAGACAAGTCCCTGAAGGGCCTTGGTGAACTCACCTCTCTCCCTTCTTGTTTACGATTTTCTTCTTGAACCGATTGTACCAAGAGGTACTGTCCTGAATAGCCTGAGCTTTATCCTCACCCCTCCTAGGACAAAATCTACAACACGTTAGCTCAATGAGCCAAGTAGCCTTCAGGTTATAAAATCTGGATCAGGGCGCTTTCATAATCCCTCTGTTGCAGGGTGAAGAGAGACGTGAACAGATGGGACTGCAATTGCCTGGACTGCCTTTCCCGAGCCTTCGTAGACGGGCTCAACCTAGATCCTAGGCTTCTGTGGACTCTTGCTGCCTGAGGTGCTTCGCCCAACTTGTGTAAGTGTTTTATCTCCTGGATGCATGCTCCCATAGATGGGTTTGTGCAAAACTGCAGGTAGCTTGGTTTGTGCTGAACCACTGGCAGCTGGGTTTGTACAAAGCTTTCGGCCAGACCTGGGAACCTACCAGATCTAGAAATAGTAGAAATTGGTAAGGTGTTTAGAGCCCTCCCATGGGATTGTAAACAGTGCATGGTGTTCCTCTCCAAGAAACTAGTACCCTTCCACGGTATGCCACTTCACAGTGATGGCTTGAGTTTCAAAGGCACCTCGTGACCAGGAGGGAAAGGCCGATACTCACAGAGATGTTGCTCTTAAATCACCATAGTGCCTTAATCTGGATTTTTAAAAAAATATATAAGAAAGATAAGCCCCCACTGTTTATTGTTGAAAAGAAACTGTACTTAAGTTTGTTACTAGCAGCCGAACACCCTTCTAACCGATAGAGGAAGATTTGTTGACATTCTCTGGTGAAAGCAAGGAATGAGATAACTTTTTCTTCACTTCTCTTGAAAATAATAATCTGACTACAATAGAGTAAAATTAGGTGCTGGGTCAGAGTAGAGAAACTGCCCATTGCTATTCACACTGTATCTAGATTTGCGACTCCCTAGAGAAGCGGTGGGTAGTGCCAAAACTGTAGTGTTGCCTGAGAAGATGAAAATTCACTTTGATTTTAAACTGCAGCTATGGCTGTCATAGTCAATGGAGCAAAATTCCCTCAACTATAACACACTGTTTTCTTGATGCCACCATAAAAATTTATATAAGGAATCTGGCTGGGCACGGTGGCCCACACTTGTAATCCCAGCACTTTGGGAGGCTGACGTGGGTAGATCACCCGAGCCCAAGGGTTTGAGACAAGCCTGGGCAATGCAGTGAAACCCTGTTTTTTGTTAAAAAATAAAGCAAAACCACAAAACAGGGCAGGCGAGGTGGCTCATGCCTGTAATCCCAGCACTTTGGGAGACCCAGGCAGGCAGATCACCTGAGGTCAGGAGTTCGAAACCAGCCTGGCCAACATGGTGAAGCCTCATCTCTACTAAAAACACAAAAAAATTAGCCGGGCATGGTGGCGCATGCCTGTAATCCCAACTACTTGGGAGGCTGAGGCAGGAGAATTGCTTGAACCTGGGAGGCGGAGGTTGCAGTGAGTGGAGACCACGCCATTGTACTTCAGTCTGGGCAAAAAGAGTGAAACTCCGTCTCAAAAAAACAAACAAACAAAAAAAACACCACAAAAATTAGCTGAGCATGGTGGCACACACCTATATTTACAGCTAGCTACCCAGGAGACAGAGGTGGAAGTATCCCTTGAGCCCAGAAGATGCAGGTTGCAGTGAGTCAAGTTCAAGTCACTGTACTCTAGCCTGGCCGACAAAGCAAGACTCACTCTCAAAAAAAAGTATTAAATCTAAGGAAACCTGAGCACAATAGTTCCAGAACTCCAGGAACTTTGTAACTAATTTGAAAAGACAAAAGTAGTTGTTACAAAATGCTTGAAACAGGTGGAAATTCAGAATACTGGTGGGTAATGAAGGAACAAAAAACAAGCCAGATTCACGGAGACACAATCACATAAAAGCATGATTTATTTTCTGGAGGTAGACTAATACAGATTTTTTTTCTTTTCTTTTCTTTTTTTTTTTTTTTGAGATGGGATCTACTTTTGTGCCTAGGTTGGACTGCAGTGGCACAATCACGGCTCACTATAGCCTCAACCTCACGGGCTCAAGTGATCCTCCTACCACAGCCTCCTGAGTAGCTGGAACTACAGTTGTGCACCCCCACTCCTGGCCAATTTTTAAATTTTTTTGTAGAGGTTGGGAGGTCTCATTGTGGTGGCCAGGCTGGTCTTGAACTCCTGGGATCAAGTGATCCTCCCGCTTTGGCCTCCCAAAGTGTTAGGATTACAGGTAAGAGCCACCATGCGCAGCCTCAAATGTCTTTGATAAAACTCAGCTAACTTGTAGAGACAATCATCAATCTAATCCCAGAAACAGGCTCTTACCTCCTCTGAACCATCCTTGGGCTTCATGGGGTTGGCATTGAGGATCCCTACTACAGTCCCCTGCTCTGTCTTCCAGAGTGCTTTGTGAACTTCTCCAAATAAGAACACAGACACGCATTGTGTGAGGTCACGAAGATCATTGAGTTTCCAAATGCTGAAGGTTTTTCCCTGGAACAAATAGTTAGTTATTCTTACTTTTAACAATTTTTGAACTGTAGGTTATGCCGTCTTCATTTATGGGTCAAGAGTTTTCCTATGGAAAAATATATGCATATAATCCATAAAATCCAAGAATTTTGTTAGTCGAATATGTATTGTCAGCATGTGTGATAACTATGAATTAACCTAGCCTTTAGCATGATATTACCCTTCTCATTTTAGAGATGAAGGTGAAATAAAGCAAGCCAGTGGCAAACTTGTTAGCAGAGTCTCTAATTACCTCTGGTCTAAGCAGAGGGAGTGGGATAGCACTGCCTTTCTAATGACACAGAGATACACACACATGTCATTAAAAGGACAAGTGGAAGGTATAACACACACTGCCATTTAATAACTTACTGATATGAATCAGTATTAGGTAAATTGAATAAATCCATTCTATATCATTGATTAATTATAATGATTATTTGTAGAGGCAAGGTCTTGGTCTGTCACCCAGGCTGGAGTCCAGTGGTACAATCATGTCCTGTTGCTCACTCCAACTCCTAGGCTCAGAGCATCCTCCATCCTCAGCCTCCCAAGCAGCTGGAACTATAGACGCATGCTACCAGCCCCAGCTAATTTTATGATTTATTTTCATTTCATAGAGATCAGGTCTCACTATGTTTCCCAGGTTGGTTGTGAACTCCTGGGCTCAAGTGATGTTCCCACCCTATCCTCTCAGTGTTGGGATTATAGGTGTGAGCCACCAAGCCTGGCCTAAGTATATTATTAATATGAATAAAGTTTCCTCTCTAGGCTATTACATTTTGCTTAGCTTACAAGAAAAACAAATGCATCACTTCAAGAAAATTGGTTGAGTTTAACCTTAACATTTCAGAAGTATTATTAAGTATCTGAAGAAATACAGCTCAAAATGCTGACCAATTATAACAGGAACAACCTCTACTTTTACAGATGTTTCTAAAAACAGAATAATTTGAATAATCTTGACTTGCACTGTCTCACAGAGGCATCCCAGGCTGGGTATGGTTATGGGTTATGGTACGGAACCTACTGCCTGGACTCTAAGCATGGCAGGCCTCTTCTGTGGATTTGTGCAATGCCTGTCTTGGGAGAGTTCAGATAAATTCTCGTGCCTATTATTTTCATGTCATTACAGCCACTTATGAAGTAACTAAGAATTTAATCAAAGGAAAATCAGACCTGTCTACATTTACCTCAACATAGCAGGTGCAGGTTTGTTGCATAGGCAAACGTGTGCCATGGTGGTTCACTGCACCTATCAACCCATCACCTGGGTATTAAGCCCAGCATCAGTCAGCTCTTTCCCCTCAGGCTCTCCCTCCCCCGTCCTCTCCCAACAGGCCCCAGTGTGTGTTGTTCCCTCCCTGTGTTCATGTGATCTCATTGTTCAGCTCCCACTTATAAGTGAGATGTGGTGTTTGGTTTTCTGTTCCTCTGTTAGTTTGCTGAGGATAATGGCTTAGGATCGGCTACTCTGAAAACTCAACTCCATGTTGGATCACACGAAAAACCTAAGGTTGGGCAAGATCTACATTAGAGAATACAACCATTATTGAGCATGATCAATCATAGTATTTTAGAGATAGGAGAGATTTTCAATCTAATCAAAGCCAGTTCCTTCATTTTATAGAAAAAGAAATGGAAGCCAGTAAAGAAAGATTAAGGGCCAAACTCAGGTAATATCACTAGTTAAGGGCACAAGGCTTAGAAGCCAGGCAATCTGATTTGCCAGGTTACAAAATAACTTTCCCATTTAGACGCAGTCAAAAGTGATTTTGAAACCTGATAGATCTTTGGTAATCACCGTTAAATTACACATATCACATAGCACTAACACAGGCCAGCAATTTCAGTACTTCTGTGGTTGACGTCTGACATCTAAAGGGACTTCCAAAGAATCTGTGAGCTCAGCCTATGTGTTATCTGCGCCTTTCCTCCATGGGAGAGATTACAGGATCACAGGGACAACTACGTGTCACCAAAAACTATGACAAGTGAAATGCAGTAAGAATAATTTGGACAATGGGAAGTCCAAGAAACGCATATACCACCAGGTCTTATTTAAGTAGGGCATCCTTTGCATACACCCAGTGGACACCAACTCAGTGATGTGTGGCAATTCTGGAACTCACTATACTTATTTCTAAATGAAACACCAACAGGTTCCAGTTAGCAAATTCAAATTCCCACTGTTAGTTTGTAGTAAAACTGCTAAGAAACCAACACAATGGCTTACATTGTTCATACTCTGTGGCGTAATCTTTTTCAGTATAACCCCGAATGTCACCCAGTCTATTTCTTCCAGCTTCTCTCTTGCCATCTTTTCCTTGATCTGAGACAATCTGATCAGTTTTCGGCCGGTCATTTTCTTGTTCATTTCTGTGGAGGATACTCGAGGCCGCCTGGGTTAAGAAACCAGCGATTAGTAATTGTGATTCTAATAAAAAATTACCTGGCACCTTAGCAGGTGGTAAGGGAGTGTGATGGGCAGAAACCTCTACAGTACCTGTTCTCAGGAAGCTTAGTTATATAGATCAATTTTTACAGCAAATACATAAAAATGTGTTTTTTTTTTTTGGAGACGGAGTTTCACTCTGTTGCCTAGGCTGGAGTGCAGGTGGTGCGATCTTGGCTCACTGCAGCCTCCACTTCCCAGGTTCAAATGATTCTCCTGCCTTGGCCTCCTGAGTGGCTGGGACTACAGGCACGTGCCAGCATGCCCAGCCAATTTTTGTATTGGCTGGTCTCTAACTCCCGGCCTTAAAGTGATCCACTTGCCTCAGCCTTCCAAAGTGTGGGAATTATAGGCATGAGCCACCGTACCTGGCCTGTAAGGTAATTTCTAAAGCTAGGTTGCCTTTCTTTGGTTATAGATCTAGGGCTTGCATAGAATACAAGAAAGATCACAAATCCTTTAAGCTCTTAAATTATGCAAATTTTAATATCCTGAATACAATCCTTTTTTACTTTTACAAAACCATGAATTGATATTCATAAATAAGACATTTACATTTCAATTATGCAAGAATTTCACAAGTTCTACTACTCTAATTGAATTTTCTGAAAGTCAAGATTTTGACATGCAATAAAGGCTTCCGAATGTACCTTCAATTAGTATATTCTTCTTCCTAATGAGTGGCCAAAAAACTATTAGGATTATTAACACTTGTTTCATCTTTGATCGCATTACATATTTGCAGACAAGAGATAACACTCAGAGCAAAACATGCTGCTTCACTATTTCATAAGTCTTCTGGAACAGAAAGTCCCAGAGCTAAGTCTGAACAATGAAGAATATTTCTCCATTGTTCTAAGTCAGAAGGCAAAACAATGACTTCACTGGCAAAATTCTTTCCTTTGTCTGATTTCTGTGAGTGTAGTGTGACAGGTCTCCTCCATCTGCCCCAAGTTACTTAAGGGTGTATGTCAGCTGCCTGAACCGTGAAGGCCAGGTAGTGAGCTGAGGCCATGGTGCCCAGCCAAGGAGCAGGTGTCCCCGAGAACCCAACCATCCTGGAGAATATCTAGGAACACACCAAGAAAAGAGTTTCGTCGCACATACACAGTAGGCAAATAGCTTAGGGGGGTCCTAGCTAGAGCAATCAGATGAGAAAGAGATAAAGGGCATCCAAATTGGAAAAGAAGAAGTCAAATTTATCCTTGTTTGCAGATGGTATGATCTTATATTGGGAAAAACCTAAAGATTCCACCAAAAAACTATCAGCACTGATAAAAACAATTCCGTAAAGTTGCAGGGTACAAAATCAATATACAAAAATCAGCATTTCTATATGACAACAACAATCTGAAAATCAAGAAAGTAATCCCATTTACAACTGCTACAAATAAAATACCTAGTAATACACTTAACCAAAGAAGTGAAAGATCTCTACAATAAAAGCTAAAAAACACAGATGCAAGAAATTAAAGAGGATACCAAAAATGGAAAAATAGCCCATGTTGATGGATTGGAAGAATCAATGTTGTTAAAGTGTCCATACTATCCAAAGCAATCTAGAGAGTTAATGCAATCCCCATCAAGGTACCAATGATAATCTTCACAGAAACAGAAAAAAAAAAATCCTAAAACGTATATGGAAACACAAAGACCGAAAATAGCCAAAGCAATCCTGAGCAAAAAGAAAAAAACTGGAGGCATCATATTACCTGACTTCAAATTATACTAAAGCTATAGTAACCAAAACAGCATGGTATTGGCATAAAAACAGAAACACAGATCAACAGAACAGAAAAGAGAACTCAGAAACGAATCCATAAATCTGGCATGAACTCATTTTCCACAAAGGCACAAAGAACATACAATGGGGAAAGGACAGTCTCTTCAACAAATGGTGCTGGGAAAACTGGATATCCATATGCAGAAGAATGAAACTACACCTGTATCTCTGGCCATATACAAAAATAACATCGAAATGGATTCAAGAGCCCAGGCATGGTGGCTCAAGCCTGTAATCCCAGCACTTTGGGAAGCCAAGGCAGCTGGATCACCTGAGGTCAGGAGTTCGAGGTTAGCCTGACCAACATGGCGGTTTCTACTAAAAATAGAAATAGCCAGTAGTGGTGACATGTGCTTGTAGTCCCAGCTACTCGGGAGGCTGAGGCAGGAGAATCACTTCAAGCGGGAGGCAGAGGTTATAGTGAGCTTCGATCACAACACTGTACACCAGCCAGGGCGACAGCAGGACTGTCTCAAAAAACAAAAAAATTAAAGACTTAAATCTAAGACCTGAAACTAAGAGATCACTAAAAGAAAACATTGGGGAAACTCTCTAGGACATTGGTCTGGGCAAAGTTTTGTAGAGAAATAACTGAAAAGCACAGGTAACCAAAGCAAAAATGGACAAGCGGGAGTCCAAGTCCAAGTCACTCTTTGGCTTTTGGATCCTTCCCAGTTTTGAGGAAACTTTTTTTTTTTTTTGAGATAGGGTCCTGCTCTGTGGCCCAGGATGGAGTGCAGAGGTACAATCTCGGCTCACTGCAGGATTGACCTCCCCACTCAGCTTCCCAAGCAGCTGGGTCTATAGGTGCATGTCACCACACCGGGTGGTGACATCTCTGTTTCTTTAGTAATGGGGTTTTGTCCCATTACCCAGGCTGGTCTCAAACTTCTGAGCTGAAGCTATCTGCTCCCCTCAGCCTCCCAAAGTGCTGGGATTACAGGTGTGAGCCACCATGCGCTGCTAGGGGAAAGTTCTTCCATACAGCCCAGGGTTTTTTCCTTAACAAGTTAATAGATTACTACCAAAAAAGCTCTAAAATCTAAAGCTTTCTGACCACAAACATGACACTCAAAGGAAATACTTACTATAACATTTCGGATTTTGGATTTTCAGATTTGGGACGCTTAACCAGCAAGTCTATATAATGTAAATATTCCAGAATCCAAAATCCAAAACAGTTCTGGCCCCAAGCATTTTGGATAAGGGATACTCAACCCATGTCGGGGCCAGAGGTTCACATATAACAATTACAAAAAGACTCAAACTATTCCGTAATCCCTTAAATTTAAAAGCCACTTAGAAACTTTTGCTGAGTAGTTTAAGCCTCTCCTACCTCAGTTTTGATTCACATGTGCAATAAATGCCCGCAGCAGCTACACTGTTCATTACCAGCAGGGAGCTCCACGTGGGCCATGGCTGGGGTTAGGCAATAGCATCTCAGGAGGGGCCAATTCTCTACCTTGAGAAGGCACCCTGCAGCCCTCTCAGTAAGAACCACAGCTTCTACTGCTGTATTCTATTTCTCAGACTCTGTCTCAGATGCAATTAAGATATACATTCTTCAGTTCTGGAGAATACCAAGTCTTTACAATACACTTCTTTTTTGTTTGTAGAAACGGGGTCTTGCTCTGTTGCTCAGGCTGGTGTGCAGTGGTACGATCATAGCTCACTGCATGCAGTCTTGAACTCCTGGGCTCAAGTGATCTTCCTGCCTCAGCCCCTCAAGTAGGACTATAGGTGCATGCCCCTGCATCCAGCTAATTTACTTTTTGTAGAGATGAGGTCTCACTATGTTGCCCTGGCTGGTTTCGAGCTCCTGACTTCAAGTAATCCTCCTGCCTCGACCTCCCAAAGTTGGGCTTATAGGTGTGAGCTACCAACCAGCCTTGCAATACATTTTTATTGTATGCTGGCAACACTTGTTCTCCTCTGCCTAATAATACTTTAAGAGCTTAGCAGTTTTAAGAGCCTTACTTGTTGGCTGATGTTTGGACCGGCAAGGTTGAGGAGTTTTAGAGGGGTTTCACTTGGTTCCTCAAAGGGACTGTGCTAAAAGCAATCCAGTCTCACGGTGAGGATGACTGTGCTGCCTGGGATTATTCAGATGTAGTGATGGAGATGCAATGGAGCCGTGATGCAGAGCACAGATAATAAAAAATAAAGTCAAATCAAAGTCCAGGATTGGAACACAGCTTTTAATTGAGCTTGGAATATATTCCTATTTTAACAGACTATGTTAACAAAGGATACAAATTTGCCTTAAAAAGGGTATTGGAAAGAAAAACGGCATAGCTATTTTTCTTAACATCAATTACAAGAATCAAAAGAAACAGAAAAAATGATCCTAAAATGTCTACAGAACCACAAAAGACCCAGAAGAGCCAAAGCAATCCTGTAATTGCTTGACTGCATTAATATTATCCTGGTTGAACTGTCTATGTATTTACAAATAGTCTAAATATACCTCAGTAGAGATGGAGACAAATTTTAAAAGTCGACTGTTTCCATCTGTCAATTTCTGATTAAATATACTACCATTTGTCCATTTCTTTTTATAGATACATATTCGTTGTTGATTATATGCATAAGAAAAAGTCTTTCTTAAACACTGAATATGCAACTGTACTTAGTCAAACCCAGGGCTACTGCTAGTCTTACGGCAGTGTTTTGCACAGTTCAAGAGCTGCTGGTGTTTTATGGATCCTGATGTGTATAAACACACTACTTCTAAAAGACTGAGTGGCACAAAGAGCCATGCAGTAGTGGCACAAAGGAACAGATGGTAGAGCTACTACTGACCTGAGCCGCAGGCCGGAGAAGGCTTCCGTGCAGACCGGCTGAGCCGTTTCCCCAGAGTTTCCTGGGGTCCCCACGGTGT